AAACTGAAACTCCTTTTGCCCTGAGCACTAAAATGATCCAGAAAATAATTTAAATGGGCACTCTAAGCACTGTCACCATGATAACTTATTGTATTTGTCATGGTAGAAGGATGGGTACAGGTCCTCTAATTTTTGTTTTAAGATGACAGCTTCCATGATGCTTTGTCATATCTAAAGACATGCAAAGCATCATGGAATTGTAGTTCTACAACATCTGGGGATCTACCTTTGGGGCACCCCTGGTCTAAACATTTAAAAGAATATTAGAATTTTTCCTGCCACCAAAAAGCTTCCCCATGTGCTTCAACATGATAATTAGGAGATGATGAGCAGGATGTAGCCTGTTGCTCGCAGGACTGCCAGAAATATGTTTCCTAGTGGATCTTTTTTACTAGCAGAGTGAATAATTGTCTAAATAGGGATAGAGTATCCTAATAAATTGATAGGTGTGATTCAGTAGCAGTGTAATGGGTGAATGCAAATATTACAAGTTTTAGAATGAAAAGTAAACTGTGTACTTTGTCTTTAAAATATTTTGCGGGGCGGAGCCTAGCACCGGACCGGAGCGGACGCACATTGCCGGAGCTCCGAGTTACCGCACGGCAATCCAGCCACATCGGAGGCATCCCGCACTAATCCCGGCCACACAATCAGCCACAGCCCGCAGGGAACCTCACTGCAACCGCCGATGCCGTTTCTCCTGACGCCCGGCTCGAAAAATAGACGCCGAGGCGGCAAGGCCTACCGGGCAGGGAGGCAACCTCAACCCAACACGGGAGAACATTGGCCCTGGAGTGTCCCAGACTTTGAGGACAGGTACCCCAGCACACACAGCTCAGGTGAGATGGGGCGCAGAACGCAGAAACTGCCCCAAAACGCCCCAAAACCGCAGCGCGACATAGGCCAAATGCTACAGGCCCCAAGCGCAGTAAAGACACAGACCCCCCGTGAAACCTCCCCAGCACCATCAGAGGAGGAAGAATCGCTAGATAGCCCACACCTCAATCCCCAACACCCCACACACACGTGGATGCCAGAAGCCAGCGCACCGGCCTCCAAACAAGATATACAGGCTATGCTGACAGGCCTGCAACAGAACTTAAGACAAATGTGGGAAGCGGACCTGGCAGTGCTTAAACTAGACGTGCATGCCGTGTCCACGCGCACTCAAGCGGTAGAAGAGGAGGTAAAGGGACTAAGAAAGAACTCCCAGGAATTGGGGGAGACGGTGCGACACCTTCAAGCTGCACAAGCAACAATGTCCAGGCAAGTTACTCTCCTAGATGATAGGGGGCGTCGAAAGAACATAAAAATCCGAGGGGTACCTGAATCAATACCGCTGGAAGAGTTGCCACATTTCATCAGACGCCTTGTGGCCACACTCCTGCCAACTAGACAATCTAAAACGTTCCAGTTCGACGGGGTTTACAGGATAGCCAAATCCCCACAAGCACCCAACTCAGCCCCAAGGGACATAATATTGAGATGCCAATCAATGTTGGACAAACTGAGGCTAATGGCAGCTATGCAAGGGAAAACACCTCTTGACTTTGAAGACAGCAAACTCTCCTTCTTTCAGGACTTGAGCAGGGCCACACTGATGTGGCGCAAAAGTATGCAACCAATCACCAAACAACTCCAAGCCGCAGGAGTAGCCTATAGATGGGCAACACCAGGAACTCTCTGGATCACTAAAGATGACAAGCACTACAGAGCTACCGACCACGCAGAGGGCCCGGCGCTGATGACCGCATTGGGAATATCGAACCTCGCAGCGACCTCTATGACACAGCTGGCTCATCGACCAGGGACAACGAGCACAGATTCATCCGCAACCCCTGGAATAAGCAGAGGCCCGAAAACCAAAACCTGAACGAACTGCCTTACCGACGGCCTCATAGGCCTTAGTTTCACTAGTTTAAATATTTTAAGTTGATAAATCTGTTCATTTAAGTTAAATGTAGTTCTCCCACATTCTGACGGCTATAACAGTGCTAAAGAGACCCACCAGAGCCACGCACACTAGCTCCGATAACAATCCCCCCCCCCTCCCTTGGGTTAATGGGAAACGACATCAAAGGCGACATAGTAACCCTGACTGAAATCAAGCTCACCGCGAGGTCTGATGCCCCAAGGGCACAACTTGATCCGGTCACACTACAGCGACCTATATATATACATAGACACGATTTGTAGTTACCACTAGGGCCACAAAGACACCTTGAGCACCACACACATGGGCACCCACCAATAGCTACAATCAGGGAAAAGCAAAAGAGGAGCGGACATAGTCCTAGAAAGTGCACCATTAGAGGGACCCCGTAACTACCGCAATCCGCTTCCTTATCCAAACTCGAAAGGGTCAAGAGACACACCCAACACCCATAACATATAGTCGCACGACCTGGAATTGGGACCAGCCACTGGACCTAGCAGTAAATGCCTTTCCCCCTCCACCCACGACTCCGCAGACCTTAGGGTGTCTTAGGCAGACAGAAGTCTTCCACCCCCACAGTTATTAGATTTTAAAACCTCACTACAACAATGTGACCTATTGTAAATATAAAATGTGTGTGACTAGCACACAACAATGCCTTGTATTTAATATGTACTGATTCTAATCGTTGTGTCGAGGCTGTTGTGGCCAACTTCATGAATATGTTATCTTTCCACATGAAAAATAAAGAATTTAAAAAAAAAAAAAATATTTTGCAAACTGACAATTTGTTAGAAATGGAACATATTGTTTTTCATAAAATGTTTCTTTAATAAATGACCTCTTACCCATATTCAGTGAATATGGTGCTCAGACTTTAGTAAGGCCATCTTGTCCTAGGTTAGTGGAATTCCCTAAGTCAGGGAATTTCCCATGTCATGTGCACCCTTACGTTTTAGTCTAAACATAGATAAGATGTTCCCATGTGAAATGACCAAGTTATGGCCTTGTATCTTTGCAAAGTTAAGGTAGGTCCTAAAATGACCTAATTGAAAATCTAAGCTATAAATATGTGTACTTATTAATTTTAGGGCACAGAGGAGAGATTTTAGAGACAGAGATACTACTCCGTTTTATTATGACTGATAGAGGTTGACATGTTCAGGAGGGAATGTTATTTTTATTTACTGATACTGCAAGCCTATAATTTAATCGTATAAACTCTGCTATAAATTATTGTAATGGGTTTTATATGTCTATATTTATATATTTACTTAATAAAATATTTAAAAGACATATTGTATTCTCAGTTATTTATATATTTTAAATAGAGGATCTCTTACTAACCATATAAAATTATGGCTAAGATATCTGTATGGTTAGCACTGCTAAGTTCTATGCTTTAAGACGTTATAGTGGTAAATAGGGGAACCGGTTGCGGTTACAGGAGTACACCAGAGATAAAATGCAAGATTATTTAGACACAATTAACTTCAGTTAGAAACAAAATGGTGTACACATTCACATCAGTATGGATTGCTGAATGAAATAGCATAGGTAGGCAGTCACACAAGAGGGAGAATCCAGAAGCCACGCGGACCAGAATTAGGATTGCTGTATGTCACACATGTGGTCCATAACAGTTACTATGACGTAGTTAATGTTAATTAGGCCCATCAACATATTCGGCCATAATTACAACACTGAATTCATAAATGTGTGCATGAGATAAATATTAGTGTCTCCTGGAACAGTGTTCCTCAGAGCTTATGTGACAGTATCAAAAAGTTGTGCAAATGAGCTATGATGTAAATCAGTGGTTTCCAACCCAGCCCTCAGGTAACCCCTAGGGATTACCCTGTTGTGTCTAAGGTGTTTTTGGAAAAACAAAAAAAAACACTTTAGACACAACAGGGTAATCCCTAAGTCCTGGACCGGTAAGGGGTACTTGAGGACTGGGTTGGGAACCCCTGATGTAAATAATAATAATAATAATAAGTGATTTCAAAGACAAAAAAACATACCCAGGATGTTTGTTTGGGCATCTGAAGTACTGCAAATAAGGCCTTAATAAACCCAAGTGATCATGTTTTAACAATGAGTAATGAAATACACAATAGATATTGCAATGTAGTCTGATTCATATTATTTATTTATTTTATTAATATCCCAAACATGAGCATATGATGCCAGAGAATCTCTGGTAACTTCAAGTTTCTTCTGAATGCCTAAATAGTGAAGCAACTATCAGGCTTTGGACAGATCTGCTCGGCAGGTAAACCCATCTCTGCTGATCGACAGTGTATGGCTGTATGTCTTCTAATGGAAATTATGTAGGACCTTGTTTAAGAGCATTCTACAAGAAAATTGTGAAATCTTTTTTCGGCAGTGGTTCAGGCATATTCCTTTTGAGACATTTTGTCTACTATATTCATCTTCCATTGTGGTCAAATATACCTGGAGCCATGCCTGTATCTGTTCTATTGTCAGGTTGTTGTATATTCTGTTCATAGAAAGTGTGCATCTATCCTGGATGGGCTGCTGATATTATTTAGGTTCACTGTTGGCCTGTTTATAATATGATGAAAAGCCTGCAAGGATTTCAGAAAGCTCACTGGAAGGCTTTGTTACAAGCCTCCCACTCAGGTGCTGCACAGATGGTAACATTATGTTTATAGGCTTCTTTACACAAGCAGATGAGCCAAGGCAGGACTTCTGATCGCTAGCCTGCAGGTCAAATGGTGTCCAACTCCCCAGGTTGACAGGCCTCTTGCTCCCTGTGTCCATGGCAGCTTTTCCATCTTTCTGGTAGCATGCATTAAAATTACTCAGCGGTTTCCTGCGACCCAAGTCTTGGCCAACTTCTCTGTTGCTTACTCTGTATTTTGCAATCATATCAGTAGATTTACAACTCCCAATGTCACGTCTAGATTCTCTGCCATTCTGGAGGCCTGTTTTGATAACAATGCCTGGTCTCCTGCATTCAAATTCCTGACCAGGTACTGTGCTGCTCGATCTGCATTTTTCATTAAAATGGGCGGATCTCCTGATCCCAATGTCCCGGCTGACTTCTGTACCACTCCGGTGATAAGTATATGTAATATCTGCAGGTCTCCTAATCCAGATGTCCCTGCCATTTTCTCTGCAACTTTGGAGGCATGTGTCAAACTTATTAGAAGGTGTTCTGCTTTTCAGCTCCTGGTCATCTTTCCTGTTACTCTGGTGGGATGTCTCTGTTCTATTAACAGTTCCCCTCCTACCAAGGTCCAGACCAGTATCTCTCTCCCTTTGTCTTTGTATGTCACAGGTATTGATAAGTCTCCTAGTCCCCATTTCCTGTGCATCTTTTCTGACACTCTGGTGACCTGTATTGGCTGGCTGAGTACTCTTTTTCAGCAAGGGAGGCAACTTATTCTCATAAACAGGTGTGTGCTGCCTTGGCCCTCTGCTGCTTTGTTGATATTCTGGTTGCTTCTGTGTGAAAAGATGAGAATCCAGAATGCGGTTCAGAGATTGATAGGACAACAATGAGCTGTATTGTGCCCATGTGTTTGGTCCGGGGAATATACGTCTAAAGCCCTCACTCCTCTCGTGCTCCTGCTTGACTCTTTGCAAGATCTCCTTCTCTTCATGCGGGTTGGGTCTGGTCAATCCTCTAAAAGTCTTTTGATTTCCTTCCTGGATATATTCCTCAAATGTTGCAGAGCCCCCTTTGTTCTTCAGCTGGGGATCCAGACATTCTATGCCAATTAGTGTAAACTAGTGATGTCGCGAACCCGAAATTTTCGGTTCGCGAACGGCGAACGCGAACTTCCGCAAATGTTCGCGAACCGGCGAACCGCCCGAAACTCCATTGACTTCAATGGGGAGGCGAATTTTAAAACACACAGGGACTCTTTCTGGCCACAATAGGGATGGAAAAGTTGTTTCAAGGGGACTAACACCTGACTGTGGCATGCCGGAGGGGGATCCATGGCAAAACTCCCATGGAAAATTACACAGTTGATACAGAGTCTGGTTTTAATCCATAAAGGGCAGAAATCACCTAACATTCCTAAATCACAATCAATATGGATTGATACCTGACATATGACATATTGACACCTTGACATATGGATTTACACCTGTCCTCAGAGCCCCTGATGCACACGGACACAGAGCAGAATAGAGACTGGTCCCCCTACATAGGGTCACTTGGCAGATATGGATTGACACCTGTTTACAAACTGCTATTTGTAACGGGCCCTTTAAATGGCAAATTGCCCTGTTTCCCTGGGTTGTGGAGAAGCCTTTTTTCCAGCCTCCTCCCGCATGACTATGGCCCCTGGGAGATTGTGAAAATGTATGCACTTTTATTTGGTGTGTATGGCTCTTTAAGACTGTCGGTGGGCATATTGGGGCTTATGGACTCTTTATGTGACTGGTGCTGGCCCTTTAAACACCTTTTTGGGACATCAGGAAGATTGGGACACTGCCCCTTTAAGGCCGTGTCCCCAGACTTGTTGGGGACACTGCCCCTTTAAGACGGTGTCCCCTGTGTCCCCAGACCTGGTGCAAACCCTTTGTGCCTGCCTTGCTATTTCCCACTTGGTTCAGTAAATGGGAAATTATTTCAGCTGCAGAGACTAAGTCCCATTCGGCGATGGGACTTAGTCTTTTTTTCAGCCGTTTTTTTCAGCCTTATTTCAGCTGCAGAGACTAAGTCCCATTCGGCGATGGGACTTAGTCGTTTTTTCAGCCTGAAATAGACCGACCTCACAGCCCAAATCTATGGAACTGTTTTGGGCAGGAAAATGTGCTTGCGGTCGGTCATAAAGGGACCTCCAGCTAACTTTTAACCCCTGGATGGATTTGGCTGATTTTTGGTTATGTTTATGTTTTAAGTGTGCTGATTCCAAATATGTAATTATGAAGATGGGATATGTAGTTTTAAAGTTACAGGGTATGGCTAAAAACTGTATTTTTACTGCCTGTGTTTAATTATGTTAATCTCTTCCCAAACGTCATTTCGTTCAAAGTGGAGAGAATGTTAAAAAAAAATATTTTTGTTCTGAGTGTGAGAAATGCTTTTCAGCAGCTTCTAATCTTAAGCATCATTTGAGGAGCCATACAGGAGAGAAACCTTATTTGTGGTGTGTTTAGTATTGTTCTGATCAGTTTAATACCTTCCGCGTCTCCTATCAGTGGACGTGTATATGGCAGCCATTTTAGGAACCGCATACCTGGGACCCGAGCAAGGTCACCTCGTTCAACAGGCGACAACATTTGTCCCTGGAAAACTATCCTGGACATTATGTACAATTTGTATGGATATGGCAGTGATTTCTGTAACAGGGAGATGGAAGAAGATGCTTGGTCGGGTCCTCTTAATTCAACAAATTTGGGGCACTGCGCTGTCAAGCTTAATGTGCCACCAGATAGGAGTGGTGTGTTTAGTATTGTTCTGATCAGTTTAATACCTTTCGCGTCTCCTATCAGTGGACGTGTACACGTATTGATTTTTGTAACAGGAGATTGAAAAGGGTTAATGTTGTATCGGACTCTAATCCCTCGGTTCTCGACCCCTCGTCACCATAATCAACGCTGACGGAGGATCATTGTGCTACCAACACACGGACAACAGCTTTACAAGACTCTCAAATGAGTGTATTCCAGAGCTGGCTTTTATACATAGTTTGCTTACATTAGCCATGGTATATGCAAATACAGTACAGACTATAAGATTTATTACTTCCTTATATTACGTTATTCTGACAATGGAAAGATAAGCTTTTGCATACGTCTGGAAAAGAATATCCTGAAATCGGAATGGGCAAGACATCCTGAAATTTTAGCATTGTCTTACATCCTATAGAAGAAATACCTTAGTCTGTCACAGTCAGCATATTGACTTTAAGTATTCAATATCCCTTCAGTCAGCAATAATCATGTTATAAACCTTATAAAAGCATAAAATACATATAAACAAGTTAACTATTTAATATTCTTACAGAGATGGAAGAAGAGGCTTGGTCGGTCCTCTTACTGCAAATTTGGGGCACTGCGCTGTCAAGCTAATGTGCCACCAGATAGGAGTGGTGTGTTTAGTATTGTTCTGATCAGTTTAATACCTTCCGCGTCTCCTATCAGTGGTCGTGTACACGGCATTGATTTTTGTAACAGGAGATGGAAGAAGAGGCTTGGTCGGTCCTCTTACTGCAAATTTGGGGCACTGCGCGGTCAAGCTAATGTGACACCAGATAGGAGTGGTGTGTTTAGTATTGTTCTGATCAGTTTACTACCTTCCGCGTCTCCTATCAGTGGACGTGTATATGGCAGCCATTTTAGGAACCGTACACCTGGGACCCGAGCAAGGTCACCTCGTTCAACAGGCGACAACATTTGCCCCTGGGAAACTATCCTGGACATCCTGTACAATGCGTATGGATATGGCAGTGATTTCTGTAACAGGGAGATGGAAGAAGATGCTTGGTAGGTCCTCTTACTGCAAATTTGGGGCACTGCGCGGTCAAGCTAATGTGACACCAGATAGGAGTGGTGTGTTTAGTACTATTTTTATCAGTTTAATACCTTCCGCGTCTCCTATCAGTGGGCGTGTACACGGCATTGATTTTTGTAACAGGGAGATGGAAGAAGAGGCTTCCATTGACACAGATCAGAATAGGGAATGTTACCCCAACATCGGGTCACTTGGCAGATATGGATTGACACCTGTCCTAAGGTTCCCTGATACACACTGACACAGAGCAGAATAAGGACTGGTCCCCCTACATCGGGTCACTTGGCAGATATGGATTGACACCTTGTTACAAACTGCTATTTGTAATGGGCCCTTTAAATGGCAAATTGCCCTGCTTCCCTGGGTTGTGGAGAAGCCTACTTGCCAGCCTCCTCCCGCATGACCATGGCCCCTGGGAGATTGTGAAAATGTATGCACTTTTATTTGGTGTGTATGGCCCTTTAAGACTGTCGGTGGGCATATTGGGGCTTATGGACTCTTTATGTGACTGGTGCTGGCCCTTAAACACCTTTTTTGGGACATCAGGAAGATTGGGACACTGCCCCTTTAAGGCCGTGTCCCCAGACTTGTTGGGACACGGCCCCTTTAAGACGGTGTCCCCTGTGTCCCCAGACCTGGTGCAAACCCTTTGTGCCTGCCTTGCTATTTCCCACTTGGTTCAGTAAATGGGAAATTATTTCAGCTGCAGAGACTAAGTCCCATTCGGCGATGGACTTAGTCTTTTTTTCAGCCGTTTTTTTCAGCCTTATTTCAGCTGCAGAGACTAAGTCCCATTCGGCGATGGGACTTAGTCTTTTTCTCAGCCGTTTTTTTCAGCCTTATTTCAGCTGCAGAGACTAAGTCCCATTCGGCGATGGGACTTAGTCTTTTTC